TATCTCCAACTACTCAAACAGAAGAAATAAAATGCAGTCCTTTCTTGTAGATTCAGTTCAATTCAATTCAGGTTCATTTATACAACAATAAATCACAACAACAGGGACTTTATACTACAAGGTAAAGACACTAGAGCGTTCTGGAGGAAGCCCTGACAATAAAAACTCCCTTTTATCAGGAAGCAACCCCAGCATAACCAGGCTCAGGCAGGGCAGCCACCTGGCTGTTCAGATAAATAAAATAAAATGCAAAAAACCCTCTGACAAAACCTCAGAGACTTTCCATATGAGCTCAGTCTTTGTTTGACTCTCAATAGAACAGAATGAGAACGGGGCGATGTGATGGGTTGGTAAACATGGAAATGGTAAAAGCTCAAGCTAATACAAGCCCTTTAATGAAAATGACAGGAAATGATTTATGGTATTCTGTAAGGCTCTCACCACACCTAAGAATGCAATAGAGACTACATGTACCAGTAGTTTCACATTCCAGTTTGCTCTTTCTAAAGGTTAAAGCAGGTGGAAAAAGCAGGTAGAGCTTAAACAGTGAAAACATCAGTGGAAGGCTGAGCCCCCAAATCTAATACATGAATGCCAAACAACATTAAAAAAAAAGGGCAGGGCTTTTGAAAGCTCTGCAGATCTATTGTAGTACGAGGAAAAACAAACAAGGCTTAAGCTCAAGATTTCAACATCAACTGTGATGGATTAATGATTGCTACAGTTAACGATCACTGTGTTGATGTTATATGTGGGTTAAAAAGGAAGGGAGTGGAGCCAGAGCTAAAATTAAAGATCTGATGCAATCAACTAGCTCAATAACCAGCTGAATTTCTCACAGCTATCAAAATTAATTAGTTCACTAATCAAAATGCATGCACTCAAAGAATGCATGCTCTTTGAACTTTCCAGATGCCACAGAGTGACTCATTCCAGTTAGTCGAAACCAGTTTTACTATCTAACCACAGCCCAATGTGACAGTATAGCAGGAGACTTGCCGTCTATGGTGCAACAATACCAATATAGCAGGATGATGTCATCGAGGTGGACAAATTTTATTACTTTAGTTCAGCTGACCCTGGCTCTTCATATCTGCTAGCTCAGTGACAATTAGTCCTGGTTGTGCTCTGGAGGTCTGCTGAACAACAACTTAAAGCCGGTGGAGAATTGATTCACAAGCTTCAAGATTCATAAAAAGGTTTATTTTTATCATACTGGGAATGAACAGGTATTGTGGGAAAGGCAGGACCTTTCCCACAATACCTGCTTGACCCCACTAAAGAGTCCAGATCTGTGGGAAAAGCTGCTGGTTATCAGCCAGTTAGGCCAGCAAGCAAGTAAAGCCAAAACACAACAATCCCATTACTCTACATGCCGTGAAATAATGTAACCTCATTATCATATCAGGGATAAATGAAGCGCCCAAGCTTCTATCTTTAAAATAGACAGATTGACGGTGAAAGCCGCTTCGTCAAATTACAGTCTTGTTTAGCTGAATACCAACATCTCACGTAGGCGTAAATGGAAAATGATGCACTGTCTAGGTAGACTTTTCTATCAGCAGGAGGTGCAACAGCCAACATACGTAACCTGCTAACATGCCCTGAGCTTAACAGCAAAAATAAACCTGCACACCCTCGTCTACAGTGCAACGAGGAAACTGCAAGTCTAATAAACGAGTGCATATCCGACCTGAAATTTACACATGAACTCCTGTGTTTCCCTCTAAGGGATAAAGGAACATCAGGTGGAAGTGATTATCGTCCCCGCGCTGCTGCTCTTCGGCACCCTGGTCACCTTATTGCCCCTGTTTATACTGAGGTATTGCTGTGATCGCAATCGGACACGAGTCAGAACGGCCCAGCGCTACCACAGCTCATCACACAGTCAGACAGAGAGGCATCAACACCAACAACATAGCACCAACCACCACCACAGTCATCGCACCAAGCACCAACATCACAGATCTCATCTGCAGGGCATTGATGGTGAGCCAGCATGCAGAAGTCTCTTTGTGCACATTTAATTAATATTTTAACTTTTTTCATCTTTACATCTGCTTAATGTCCACTGTTCTTTCCTTAAACAGCGCCCCCTGGCATCAACCCACTGGAACATGAAGAGCTGCCGATGTCTGTTACACAAGTGCGGCAGAATGTCAGGCCAGCGATGGCTGTAGAACCACAGACGTCCACAGAAAGGCATCACGAAGCCTTCAGCCAGGTTGCTGCACTGCCGCAGACTTTCTCCATCCACCCTAATGACACAGTCAACTTCTTCAGAGCACGCACGGACAACAAGAACGTCGTGCTGAGAGTGCTGAAAGGTAAACTGAGCTGCTTGAAGGTCTGTTTATGGAA